GGAGAGAACGGCCCCGGGAGGAGGAGGGGGAGTGGGGGGGTCGGGGTCGTGACAGCAGCGAGGGGGAACGAAGGGGAAGAAGGAAGGTTTCTGAAGGGGAGGGAAGGAAATATAGGAGTGCAAAGGTTCCTCCCGCGGCCAGAGGGCGCCTCGGGACTCGCTCGTCCCTGGGACGCGGGTGGGGCTGGCCAGGGTGGAGGTGAGCGAGGAGGACTCGGGGAAGAGCTTGCGAAAGACCCGGGGCTGCCAGGAGAGGCGGCAGGGGAAAAAAAAAAGAATGACCAGCCCATGTTCAGGACGCGGAAGACACACACACGAACCACCCGCCTGCCCTCGGCGACGAAGGAGGCAATTCCACCCCCCCCATCCCCCGCTTGCTCGCTCGCCCGCCCGCGGTCCCGCCTGTGCCAGGCGACGGTCTTTGGAAGCCCGGAGAGGGGCTTCTTCAGAAACCGAAAATAACGCGCCGTGACTCCGCTCCTTACCAGAGGGAGTCCGCTGAAGCGGGACTTGAACCCGTGGCTGGTCGAGAGGCAGGGATACTTCCTGCCCCCCCGCCCGCGCGCCGCTCTTAGTTCTCAAGCACAGCTGAACTTCACTCGCCCGAGTTGTTTCCCGGCCCAAGAGCGCTCGGGTTTCTTCCCCCCTCCTTCCTCGTTCGCGCTCCTCTCCTCGCGGGGCGGGGCGGCGGGGGAAGAGCCGCAAACGAAACCGCGCCTCGCGTTGGGCCTTCTCGGCTACCGTACCCTGCCCTCCCGTCCTGAGGTAGCGAAGGGGGCGCTGCCCTGCTTTGCCCGCCCTCCCTCCGGGTGGTTCGAAAGAAAGAGAGTCCCGGCGGGCCCGGAGTGAGAGAGTTTCAGGCGCGACGGCGGAAGGAGGAGGAGAGACATGTAAGTGCCCTGAGAGGAATACCGGCAAGTATTCAGGGGCGCGCGCGGTCCCCCCACCACGAAGCCGTTCCCTTTTCCCAGCACGCCTCCCCCCCCGCCGCCGCCGGGAGGGGAAGAGGAGGGTGTCAGACCCTCTTGCGCCCGTCGAAGGGCTTTTTGCGCCGAATGACCAGGTCTCGGTTGTCTGGACCCCGGTAATCAGGGAGGTCCGTGATCCTCCTACCTCAGGCCCGGCGGGTGGTCAGTGTCCTCCCTTCCCACAGACGGACTTTATGCCCCTTCCCGGTCTGCCAGAGAGAGAGAGAACAGGGCCTGAGGTAAAGCTTTGTGTGTAGCTTGGAAGCCAGAAAAGAGGGCTTCGTAGCCGGAAAGAGGGGTCGCAGCGAAGGGTTGCGAGGAGGTGCAAGCCGAAGCCCACCCCCCTCCATCCGATAATGAAATAATTTATTTAATTTATATGCCGCCCACACTACCCAAAGGTCTCTGGGTGGCGTTGGAGCCACGCAGAGGAGGAGAGGGGACACCGTGAAAGCCTCTCTTTTCCAGAGGTTACTAGTAGGAATCGGGGAGGTTTTTTAAAAAATCGAGTTTGCTTAGAAGGTAGAGTTAATGGTTTTTTAAAATGTTTTCGACCCAATGGATGCATGTCTGCCTGCACCATAGTCGTGCACTTACGATTTAACCCTAAAACCAGTGATAGGACACGAGATGCTTAGGAACAAATCGCTGCTCTCGTTGTTGCTATGTTTAAGCAGATTTAATTAATACTGTACTGAGATCAATTTCAGCAGCAACTCCGAATCCATAGAAAATAAATTATGAAACCTGTGTCTGTTAGCCGTGCAGTATTAAATGGTAAGCAGTATGGTGTATAATTCAGGTTTGTCCGATATCATGTAATAGAAAAATATTCAATTACCGTATTTTTCCGTTTACAAGATGACTCAAAGTATAAGATGAACCCCCTTTTTCTAACCCTGAATTTAAAAAAGCAGGGTTCAAAGGACTCCCTTTTTGCTAAGCCCCCTGCCTTGGCAAAAGGCAAGGAAAGCAGCTGTCAAAGTCACTGCCACTTTTCCTTGCCTTTTGAGAAGGCACGGAGCTTAGCGAAAAGGAAGAGAGAAACAGCTCCCCTTCCTTTTTGCTAAGCCCCCCCATGCCTTCGCAAAAGGCAGCGGTAAAGAGTTGCCTTCCATATATAAAACAACCCTCAGTTTTTTCTCAAATTATTTAAGGAAAAATTGTTTTATACATGGGAAAATATGGTGTACAGTGGTGCCCCGCTAGACAATTACCTCACAAAAAGGTTTATTCGCTAGACGATGAGTTTTTGCGATCGCTATAGTGCTTCGCAAAACGGTGTTTCCTGTGAGCGATTTTTGCTGGACGATGTTTCAGTCCGTGCTTCACAAGACGGGGTGGGGTTTTTTTGGACCGTTTTTTGCAAGACGACGATTTTGACAGCTGAGTCTGCACTTCGCGAAACGGGTGTTTTTGGGACCGTTTTTTGCAGGACAATTTTGACAAAACGGTTTTCCTATGGGCAATTTTCGCAAAACGACGACGATTTTTCCCCATTGGAACGCATTAAATGGATTTCAGTGCATTCCAATGGGGAACTGCATTTCACAAGACGATGTTTTCACAAAACAGTGATTTTCGCAGAACGAATTAACATCATCTTGCGGAGCACCGCTGTATATTTTTTAAAAGAATAGTTTGTCTTCATTTTAATTTCTGTGGTGCCTGTTTTCATACACCCACAACAGTGGTCCTGATACGACCAGATAGGCGGGATATAAATAAAATAAAATTAAAAAAAATAAATACTTTCCGTTTAAAGTTTCATGGGTTCCCACCAAATCTAGGGGAAATAGATAGCTGGCAGATTTCTATAAAATGTTTAATACCTACAAAGTAATAAATTTTGTTCCAATATGAGTGGTTACAAAAACAACTGTAAGTCACAAGAAATTGTTTTAAGGTGTCAAACGTTAATTCAGCAGTTCTGAACCAGGGTTGATAACTTGGATGGGTTTAGGCAGGAATTTTCTGTCATTGGAACTTCAATGAACTACAAGGACTGCAAAAATGATCTGGAGGTGACAGGAGATCCATCTCCACTTTTTTTTTTGCAAGCCACCTTGGGACCTTTTAAGGGAAAAGGTGGGGTAAAGATATTTTAAATAATCAAATAAATAAAGATAGGCATTTTTTGGCATTCAGCTATGGAACACCTAGCCTCTTAATAGTATTGCTCTTGGCTTCCCTGACACATGGAAATCCCCTTACAATGCAGTGAGAAAGGGGGATCTCTGTGAATTGAGTACCTTGCTGCAGAACCAGAGCTAGGGAGTTTGATTTCCCAATGTGTCTCCCAGGAGAAGAGCAAGCCTGAGTAGTCTTGAGCAAGTTGCACAGTCTCAGGATGCTCCCAAATGAAGGGAATGATTTTTGTATATCCAAAAAACCCTGAGAAGGGTTACCATAAGTTGGAATTGACTTTATGGTATATATGTACTTATTAAGAATTTGTCACCTTGGGCTATTTCCTTAGATGCATTATGCCAACTAAAAGTCTTAGTCTTTAAGGTTCCATAGGAGTGTATATCTTCAGATTAGATCATCTGGAAAGTTAATCCTGTTTATTTTAATGGGTTTACTGTAGGTAGGGCTAACACTGAATTTAGTACTTGATTTGTATCACTTCAGATTTAGAATGATTCAGGCAAAGTGAACACTTTTTTGGTTTTAATTATGTAATAATTATGACAGCCATCTGTTGTGATTAATGAGAAACTTTACTATTTCTTATATGCTAGTCTTTTCCCTCCTCCAAATGCATTTCAATATACGTCATTCTCTCTGAATAGTTTTAGAATACTGTTCAATGTAGCATTCTGGATATTCAATCACTTCAAATCCTTGTTCGGTTATGAAGTTTTCTGGGGTCACCTGGGACATCAGTGTTTTTCAGCATTGGAGTTATAATGGTGATAAAGAACTTGTTTATATATGTCATTGGTAAAGTCCATCAAAAGTGGTGTAATAAAATGATACTGTAAGACTAAAAAGGTAAAGGTTCCCCTTGACAATTTGTCCAGTCATCTCCAACTCTAGGACATCTCTGTTTCCAACCCATAGAGCTAACGTGTCTCCGCAGACAATCCTCCGTGGTCACGTGGCCAGCGTGACTAGACATGGAATGCCATTTACCTTCCCACCGAGGTGGTACCTATTTATCTACTCGCATTTTTGCATTTTGCAGGCTTTCAAACCACTAGGTTGGTGGGAGCTGGGACAAGCGACAGGGGCTCACTCCGTCACGTGGATTTGATCTTACGACCACAGCTTTGATATGCTTTGAGTGCAGCAATGTTGCACAAAACAAAAGAGTTATTTTTTTTCTTTGTACAGTTGGGTGAGAGGAAAACATTTGGTACATTACTCCATGGGAGGGCTAGGTTTTAGTGTAAGTTATTGGTCTTACAAAACTGCATCTTCTTTCCAAACATACAGACCTGCTTTTTTCCAATTCCTCTTTTCTAGGGCCGACTACTGGAAATCTCAACCCAAGAAATTCTGTGATTACTGCAAGTGCTGGATAGCAGATAACAAGCCTGTATGATAATCTACGTAATCTACTCTTAATTTGAATTACAATAATTTTGAGTTATATAAGTTTACATTACTGTACACCACCAGTGCATCAATGCAGCCTTGCAACAGAATATAACAAAGAGTGGTCATGTTCCCACTTCTTCAGTCTCTGCTTGCATGGAGACAAGGAACAAAATCCATACCCACCATCTATACTGCACTGCATTGTACCACACTGGCATCTAGCATTTTGACACCTTGACTTTTCCTATATCACAGACCAGTGGCCAAGTCTTACAGAACTCAAGGTGTATCTGGCATGCAGAGTTCCTGTTGTGTGGAGGCTGTCCAGGAGCTGTCAACACTATCCCAGTAGCAGATGGCACTGGCTGGAAAGAGTTAATCTGGCCGCTCCAGTCAGTCACAATAACATTAATTGTAGCAGCACATCATGCCCCTGTGCAGTACCAGTATCTCACTGGGTGTGGGGAAGGGAGCTCTCCACAATATTTGCTTTTCTTTCCTACAATCTTTATTGGCTCTTTGCTTTTTTGATATTCTTATTTTTAAACCTTATTGTCAGGCGCCAGGAATTCACACACCCAAAGTGTTCTTAACTTTTATCAGTTTTCTCCAGCTTTTAAAATGCATATATTCAGGGCTACGTCAGAGAAACTTGAAAGTTGGTGGGCAGTAGTCAAAGTGAAACAAAGCAAAGATTTTTAGCTATCAGGACGCAATACTCTAGTTTACTACATTGCTCTTGCCTTTTCCCACAATTAGCCAAATTGAAATATGTTCTGCAAAGTAAACTAATGTCTGCTTATTTGCTTAATTTCTAGTGAGATATTATGGTTTGGTGAAAAACACAAGAATTCTGGCAAGAAAAATATAGAAAAAAACTTTATTCAAATATCTTTGAATGCTGCAAAATGATTTGTCCAGAGCTTATGTCTTTTTAGTCTCTCTAAACATTTCCTTAAGGAAACTTGGGCAGTCCATTCCGATCCTTCTGCTTCTGTATATTCTGTTCTGCATCTCTGTACTACTTAGTGCGATTTTCTTTGCATGTGTTCTTCTGGCATGCTCATTAACTACATTACTAAATTTAAAAGATTCAGTTTCTTCCAGCCCTAGCTGCTCTCCTTGTGCCTGGATCACCCTAAAAGTGGGTAAAGTTTTGGGGCAAGATTTGTTAAAAAAGCATTTAACGTTTTAACTTAACATGGTACACATGTAGCAGTTTGGTAAATTGGTCAGTTGTATCATCCAATCATGTCTTCATCTGACTGGAAACAAAACTATTGCTTCATAAAAAAATCTGGATTTACCAGTAGGACTAAGTGTAACAAGCACAACTTTTATAGCTTTTCCACATACTTCCTTGGATATGCTGCTTCGGGGCCAATAATTGGGTTTAGTATAGATTAATGTGCACTGCACTCATCCATGAAACCTAGATCGCTTTCAGTTTAATAAAAATGTACTTAATATTGTTTGCCAATTATTTATTACATCAACAGGAGGTATTAATACATAGTATTAAATAGAACAGGTGTAATTGGTTTTGATAGCGTACCAATTTTAATCACTTTAGTTACATCTGATCTACAAAGAGTAGATGTACACTTTGATATTACATTTAATCTTTCTGATTATTCAATTATAGTTAAAAGGTACAATATTGTTCAGATTTTTATACATTTTTTATTCCTTGGTATTTAGCATATTATAATTGTGCTTTGAGTTGAAAATTAATTAATTTGTTTCTGTTTCATTGGACTAGTACTTAGAGGAAGAGATTTGATTTTATCAGTGCTTATATTTAATCTTGTTAAGCTACCAAAATAATTAGTAGCTGACATCATCTTACTAAGTCACATTGGAGTAGGGCCTTATTACACTAAACAATAGGATTTCATCTAATGTCTTCAAATACCACTGGCAGGATTAACTAGAAAAAAAACCACCTTGTCAGCATACAAATTGCTGAGGTGTTCACCACCTTCCATTCCATATCTTTTTATTTCCAGATTACCGCTTAATGTTTATACAAACGGTTACAAAGAAATAATGTAAAGACTTGGGAACTACAAGCATTGCCGCTTAGTACAACAAGACAGTAAAAGAGATGCAGAGTCCCACTTATTGTGTGTGTGTTTAGTCGTTTAGTACAAGACAATAAAAGAGATGCAGAGTCCCACTTATTAACCCATAACATAGTTTGGAAGTATCGTACAACTTTTGGATGGCTTTTGACAAATACTTCCATATTGTGTTGTGTCCTTCAGGAGCTGTAAAAAGAAAGCCGCCTTCAAAGCAAGGAATGCTTTGTGGGCATTCAAAACATATATTCCAAATATCTGTCTCTGAAACATAGCTTGACAACTCATTTGGAGCAGATTGGTGTGGGCTAAATAAGGTCACTTAAGGTCAAGTAGGGATCCAGTATGCCATGTGGTACAATCATTGCATCCACGTGGTACAAGATTTCAAGTGACCAATTGCCCCACCTCTCATAAGAAAGAAAAGTAAAGAAAAGAAATACCTCAATGTCCTCTTCTGCTTCCAGGAGGAAGCTTTCATTTTTCCCTTCTAAAAGGTACAGTGCATCAGCACTGCCCTAGCTGGCTTAAAATTTTTGCTTTTCCCTTTTGCATCACCATGAAGGAGCAGAGGAAAGGGTGTTTTTTTAAAATGTAATGTTACAATTTCCAAGTTATCGTTAAATGGTTAAGCTGTCTGTTTAAGCCACTCATGATATTAGGAAATTGAAACCAGCTTGGAAATTACAGCAGGAAGCTCCGCTCTGGTTCTGTCCCAGTGATCACACGCTCTGGAAATAAACCAAAATGGAGCAATCCTACTGGCATCTAACGTCTGATTGCCAGCGAAAGGAGCCTTTTCCTTACAGTGGGTCATATGCCTCCATAGTAACTCTCTAATTCATCCTTTTTTATTGAACTCTAACTTCCTTATAGATATCATTACCCTTACTCGAACTGCATTATTTCAATGTTTACATTCTATTGAAAATAATTTCCTTCTGATTTGTGTTTCTGGGAATGTTAATTCTGCCTCTCTTCTTCTTTTAAAGAGCATTGACTTTCATGAAAGAGGGAAGAACCATAAAGAAAATGTTGCCAAGAAAATTAGTGAGGTAATGCAGATGTCATCTTATTTATTCTAAACATACTGGGAGGAATCCAGTAGTGGGTTATCACTAATTAAAACTGGCTCTGGAGGAGTAAGAAAATCTCTGGAGACATTTTGTGACAGTTTTAACCAAGAGAACATTGGATTTTGCTGATAAGTTTAAATTCTAATGTTATGGCACTTAGTCACTTGTTTTTCAATTGTAGATTAAAAAGAAAAGTTTGGAAAAGGCAAAAGAAGAGGAAAAAATGTCAAAGGAATTTGCTGCCATGGAGGAAGCGGCAATGAAAGCTTATCAGGAAGATTTGAAAAGGCTTGGTATTAAGGCAGGTAAGTGCAAGCCAAGCTCCTCCTTACTGTAGTGCAAGTGAGCATAGATTCTTTCTTCTCTCAATAGCAGTCCAAGAACACAATAAAGTAGAATACAGGCAAAAAGTGCCTATAAAATACAGAAAACCAGCTTGTTGGTGATTCGTGACATTATACACAGGCAGCATGTCTTAGCAGTTGGCAAAGAAGAGCATCAGTCAGTCCATAATAATATTGCATGATGCTGGCTGCGCTCAGTCTGTTACATCCTTTCACGCCAAAGATGCAATAATAGCTGTCCTTTCAGAAGAGGTGCATTAGACTAGCTTTCCTCAATATGATACCTATCAGATATTTTAGACCGAAACTCTCATCAGCAGGAGCCAGCCATTGTAATGGAAATTGTAGTAAAAACATCTGGAGGTTGCCAGATTTGGGAAAGCTACACTAAATAAGCACCAAGCAAAACATCTGAAAACAAGATGAAAATTAAATGAGCTGTTTCTTTTTAAAGTTGCTCAAGAATCTACAGGTAGACTATATTTTCAGTTGTTTTTATAGGAGATGAGCAGGGCAGTTGAGGACAGGACATTTTAAAGGTCGCTCGTTCATAGGGTTGCCAGAAGACAGAGGCAACGTGACTGCACATAACAGGAAATTGCAGGGTTTGCCTAACTTGGAAATAGGCTTATTCATTTAGCGGCCAAACAAGTATTTGGTGTTTCAAAGCCCTGCCTCCTCCAGCAGGTGCCCACTTGGAGGCAGTGGTCTGGCTTCCCTTCCCTGCCTGCTCCAACCAAATGAGGTGGGGCTTTGAAGAGCTGAAACCTGTTTGGCCAATAAACGGATCAGCATTACCTGCCAAATTGATGGTTCATGCTCATCTCTACTTAGAATCATAACACCGGTTATGGAAGCTTAAAGGACTGAGTTTCTTAAAAGTCTGGAATCTTTATATTTCAGAATCTGTTGTTCAGAGTTCAGCACCAAAACAGCAGGAAGAAAGAAAAGAAAAGAAGAAGGAAAAAAGAAAAAAAGAAAGAGAGAACAGAGAAACATCAGCAGAAACAAATGAATGGGTGCGAGGATTTTCTCCAGAAGGCTACATGTATTACTATAACACTGTATCGGGAGGTAAATCTTTGGCAAGGAACATAAATTTGAGCATTCAGGTATCTGGGAATAAGTCTTCTTTCCAACTGTATTTGCCTTCAGAAGAAAATATGGACTTTTTTCTTTCTCACTTTTTAATCTACTATTGCTTGTTATAAGAGATTATATGTATTTATGTATATATCCGTGTGTGAATATATGTGCATGCTATTTGAATGTTAATATTTTTTTCAAAATGTAATAAATTTGAAATGTGCTCTCTTTTTTCTTTTTATTATGAAGAATCACAGTGGGAGAAACCTGAAGGGTTTCAGGATGAGCCTGCAGAATCCAAAATGGTAACTGAATGTATAGAAACAAGTCTTTTTTGTGTCTTTCTGATATAGTACATTTCTGGTAATATACTCTCCCGTGAGGGGTTGTCCACTGAAAGCCCTTTGGATTCTCACCTGCTTCACTTACCATTCCAGAGACTCATAATCTTCATTTGCCCTTATTCTTTGAACTGAGCCAGTAACTGCTAGTCACCCCTCCCAATATTTATTTTGAGGGTGAACACATTAGAGAAGGGTTCCTGCAGTTTTAAAAGCCATGCTGAGATGGCTCAGGAGTTGCCAGATTTCTTGGTTTTCAGCACTGACTCTCCTTCTGTTGAGTTCCATAGGAGAAATGTATAAGCTGCAATAAAAAGAGTATTAGTCTTATGATATCTTATGTGCAGATCAGTAGAAATAGAAGAATAATACATCTTCAGTGGTAAATGCCCATATTAAACATCCAAAGGCATAGTTCTTCACTGGCAGTTCTTCACATCATCAGGTTTAATTTTGCTTATTGTAATCTACCTCACCATTGGTGTAATGCCACAGATTTTTCAGTCCCACTTCATTGGAAAATTTACAACTTTCCAGTATAAAATAGTCTGGCTCTTAAGTGTCCTTTGCTCCCATGTCCATTATGTAAGCTGTTTTAGGAACCCACTTTATAATTGCAGTTTGAGATAAGAATCCAGGAGCAATTCTATAACATATTCCTTTTAACAGTTTCCAGAAAAGTAGCCATTTTAGTTTGTCTCAGCATATTGGCAAAATAAAAGAGAGAGAAAAGAAAGAAAAGGCAAATTATAGTGATACTTTAAGGCAGATTTAAATAAACAGACTTGTTTCAGTGTGAACTTTTTATGAATCAGCATCTACTTCTGTCACTTTGTGTGTTTTCTGTGTCCTCACCTGGTTATCAATCCTATCACCGTGGGGACATGTATAAATACGAGAGGAAATAGTATTTGCAGTTCTTGTGTCTGAAGAAATATTTTGTTCTACATAAGTTCACATCGAAATAAATCTATTAGTCTTTTAAAATGCCACAATATTTTGCCTCTTACTCTTTTTCTTAGTCCATTTTCCACATTAATTTCGGCAACATTCTTTTAACTGTGTGAATCATAATTTTACAAGAATTGTTAATCATTGAACACTTTTGCCTTAAGTGGGAAAATGTTTTTCTTAGCAATATTGTTAATATCTTAGGTTAAAGGTTTTTGATCATCCCCATTGTATCACATAGTTACTCGTGTCCAGATGAACTGTTTTATGTATTATTTGTTAGTTACATTTCATATATCTTTCACTACACAAGTTTAAGGTAGTGTTAATGTACCTCTCCTCTTCCCCACTTTAATTTCACAACAAGGCAGAGCGGTGGGTCAGGTAGGCAGGGAGAGAAATAGTGGCGGGTCCAAGTTCAACTAGTACAAGAGCAGATCCCCTGCCAGTATAAACCTAATATTGTTAGTGTGGGTAGAGTAAGGACTAGAGATACCAGATTGGTGAGGCTAATGGCAAATGCCAGTAAAATGTCATATACCAGTTTAGGAGCATGTGGAAATCAATGGATTAATTTACAAGCTTTGTGGAGAAGCTGAAAATATGACTTGATTATCTAGGATTTATTGCTGAATCTACACTATAGTTGACCTATTCAAGCTTATTTAAGGGCCCTAAACTTATTGTTTTTATTTATTTTATCCATTTTATGTGAATATGGTCAAGCATAGGTTTGTCTTAACAGCCCTTTAAGGTTACATATGTAATTCCACACAAACTTGTTCTTATTCCATATCTTTTGAGTTAGATAAAGTCACTTTGTTTTCATTGGTAGGTAAATTGTAGTCTTGCTTGGTTACATCCACAAGGGACATTTTGGTTAATATTTATTATTTTGGCTTTCTTGTGCATTTGTCAGACAGCACAATGGGTTTGTCTTAACAGCACTTTAAGGTTACATATGTAATTCCACACAAACTTGTTCTTATTCCATATCTTTTGAGTTAGATAAAGTCACTTTGTTTTCATTGGTAGGTAAATTGTAGTCTTGCTTGGTTACATCCACAAGGGACATTTTGGTTAATATTTATTATTTTGGCTTTCTTGTGCATTTGTCAGACAGCACAATGGATGGAAGGACAAAGTGAAGATGGTCACACCTATTACTACAATATGGAAACCGGAGGTACGTTGCAAATATTTCTTTTACTGTAACAACATTTCCTACACAGAAACCATTCCTCAGTATGCAGTGTCATTAACCATGATGTGTATTTTCCTACATATGTGTGTGAGAAGCTTTCATTAGCTTAGTGTGTGCAAGACGTTTTCATTTTTTTAAAATTTATTTCTAATTTTAAAAAAAAACAAAAAACATATATAACAACAAAAATACAAAAAAATTACAAATAATAGTGCTTGTTATGGAGAGGGGCGGAGCGACGAGCAGCGAGAACGGGAAATTCCAGGGCTCTGGATTCCCCTGGATTTATTCCAAGTCAAAGGACACCCCCCCAGGAGAAGGGGGGGGCAAGTTCCCAAAGGAGAGTGAGACCTGCTGCAAGTGGGGGCTTTGGAAACACCGAATTTCAGATGGCAATCTGTCTTTTGGAAGAGTTTCCCTTCCCACATGCAACTGTCTCGTGAAGTCGCCATGATGGTGAGTTAGCTGCTCGGAGAGGGGAGGTAGAAGATTTATTATCTGACTGCAGGAACAGAGATTAATGATCTCATAAGCTACAGCAAGTAAAAGATCAGATCTGCTCTTTGAAAGCTGACAAGAAGGAAGATCTCAAGCGGCATAACTTTGTTAATGCCTATAACGTTGGAATTTTTCTTACTGTGTCACATCTCGGAAACAAAACCAACTGTTCTTTTTCTCTCTTAACCCTTCCTCCCAGAGAAACTGGTTTTTTCATAAATCCATAAAGTCAGGACTTAAGAACTCTAAATAACTGCATAATTTAACCTGTGTGACTCTGCATCTAGCTACAAAGTGGATTATAAATCAAATAACATCCTCGTAATACTTTAAGTGCGGACTAGCTAATAAATCATGAGGGAAATGTGAGTAATTAATCTGCTGACTGCTATAGCCATGGATGGAGGGGGAGACCCATTATTGCAACTCACAATGGATTATTTTAAGGGACTTCTTCAAGAATATCAGTAGAATATAATAAATCATTTCAAGGCTCAACTCGCGGAGGTGAGAACAGACTTGAAGATGACATTTCTTGCTCTGCATGAAAAGATAGAAAATAAAGACAAACAGCTTAGATTAACCATGGAGTTTAATGAACTGTCAGAGAGAGATTGCTTCAAAGCCATACAGATAAACCATTGAACTTAATCAACAACTGCCGTGGCCAAAGAGACAGAGGAAGCTTCAAAAGTTGGACAAGATGCCTAAAAAAGATGAAAGGGGGGGCTGGGAAGGGAGAAAGTACCTTAAGATTGTTCCGAAAGGAAAGAATGTAAAGGGGGAGAAATGGGCAAATTTGAGGGCAGAAATTTACCATCAGAGATCACACAGATCTATGTTGCTCCAAAACCAAAACACTAACTGTATGGGGATGAATTTAGTCAACCGTATAGAAAATGTCTTAAAGAAATATAGATGGCATTTCTAAACTGAGGGGAAAATGAAAAAAGGAGGCAAGAGCCCAATTCTGGTTTGATAACACTGGAGCTGAACATATAAAGTAACATGACTAATATACTATAAGCAAATTCGGCCCAAGATGAAATTCAATGTTAGACAAGCACATGTAATCCATGAATTTTAGAAATGATGATGAATAATAATAGTGGATGCTTTGTTTGTGAGGCACATATATTGAGACATCAAATATATGTGATTATAATAGTGACAATGTTGACAAGATTAGAGAGGCCAATCTTGGTTTGATAACACTGGAGCTGATAAATAAAAATAAAAAGGGAGGAAATTATTTGCTGAATAAATAATAGAAATCATTCGTTCGAGAGATATATAATTAACATATAAAGTAATATTACTAATATACTATAAGCAAATCTGGCCAGAAAAAGGGAGGAAATTATTTGCTGAATAAATAATAGAAATCATTCGTTCGAGAGATATATAATTAACATATAAAGTAATATTACTAATATACTATAAGCAAATCTGGCCAGATATGAAATTTAATGCTAGACAAGCACATGTAGTTCATGAACTTTAGAAATGATGATGAATAATAATATTGAATGCTTTTTTTGTGAGGCATGTATATTGAAATATCAAATATGTGTGAATTATCAGAGTGATTATGTTGACAAGATTAGACATATATTTTTTGTCTATAAGAATGGAGATCTTTGATGAATGAACTGGCCTTCTGTGGATTTTATTGCTGAATAAGTAATCTTAAAGATGAAATAAGAAATGTTTATGACGAGAATTGGATAGATGGAAATGCAGGTGAGAGAATTCATAAAGTTTATTATAAATTTAGGATGTTAGACACTTAATTAGATACTCGAAATAGGGATATGAAATATAATGTGTAGATACACACGGATATACTATGATGTAATATGGGAATAGGGTATAAGATCTGTTGTAGTCAGAATTTATATAATGATAAATTGGTATGGGAAATACCTCCCTGCTTATATGTTTTGTCTGTCTTACATGTTCTTGATTGTCTTGTAGATTTTTGTTGGTTTTGTATGTATGTATGTCTTAAAATAATAAATTTAAAAAAACTTGGTAGTGGCTGGAATTTGAGAATAAATGATCACCAAAGTTCCACCTAAGTTGTGTTTGTGTGCAGGTGCACAGCACTGTATTGATCCTGTGCAGCCAGACAGATGTTACTGCTGATTTTCTTCCAATTGTGGTCAGAGCCCTGCACAGCACTAGGAAAAATCAGAAGGAACACTGATGATCACACTTAAGATGTCCAGCCCTCCACTTCAAATAGACCATGTTACTCAATTAGACAGTCATACTCATTATGTGATGTCATCAAAAGGACAATGGTTTTCTCCAAAAATGTGAATACTTGAATACTGAATGTCTCTGTTTAGTAGTCTGCCAGCAATATAACATATTAAAGACATGTCTTGAAAACAGAGAACTCTGGTATAAACATCTGTATTAGATCCTTCATTATATCTTGCTTACCCTGCTGCCCCTGCGGCGTCTGTGAGATGATGAACTGTGCTGGCTGCAAGTTGGTTGTAGGATGCACCAACACAAACTGTTGCAGGTTGAGATTCTGTTGTTGGAGCTGCTGCAAGTGCTGCAAATCCTTCAAGAAGGAAAATATATTAAGAGATAACCAAACCTAAATGTTCAACCCTCCCCTTTTTAGAAACAAAATCTTTCTTCAAAGATGAATTCATGATATATCTACGAATGAACATAAGGGAATCTATGCACAAATGTTGGGAACAAACAAAAGGAAAATTTCTATGAAACATTCTAGATTCTAGGTCTCATCATCATCACCACTTCTGATTTCAAACTTTGAAGGTTTTCAGCCATATCATCATATTTATTAACAGAAACGAATCAACACTAAGCAAATACTGATGTCTTGCTTCACCCCAGACTTGTACAGTCTCTGTAGCTGCTCTTGTCTGTCATGGGGCTGAAAAAGGCAGTACTTAGAATTCCCACCCCTCATTCACTATTACTACTAATAATTAGGTGACAGCAATTGAATTCAAGCTTATGACAGCACTTTCCAGGATTTTTAGGTATGAAGTACTCAGAGTTGGTTTCTCATTCCCTTTTTCTGGGCATACCTTGGAATTATGTAGATTGTTCAAGACCACATGGGTTCTTCTCTAACCAGGCACAGTGTGGAACCGATGTCCAGGACCCCTGTGCACCAACTCACTGAGCTATCTAGCAGCAACTGCCTAAATCCCATATATAGTGTCATTAATGCTGACTGGAGGATTTAGAAAGATGTAATAATTAAAGAACAAACAGCTGTTCCAAGTTCTGGGATGAAACGAGTAACAGTTGCAGCCATGGAAAGGCAAGCAACATCACCAGCTACCTCATACAAGTAGAGGGATCTAACAGATTCCATATCTAATTTCTCATACATCTGCCTCCCTAGATACAGCAAACTGGGACATCAGAAGCTCCCTTTCATCCCCTCAAATGTTTGTGGGTCTCCCATCTATTTATGCAGGGACTTATTTGTAATGAAATCAGAGATGGGCATGATTAATTTTGTCC